GCTTCACCTGTTGTCTACTCATTCAACAAAAGAAAGACAAGCCAAAACACATGTCCCTCTGGAATGTAGCACAAGTCTACAGTACAAATAAAGATCACATTAGAGAAAGTCCACTCTTGTAAAAAAGCATCCTATACAAACCCTGATGATTAAATGCAACTACATTTCCATAGATGAGACTCAGAAAAAGACACTACAAGGATATTGCTGAAACTCATAATTTTGGATAAGCAGTTGCTTCAATACATTCCCTTTAATATTATAAATGCCATTTACATCTCATGAACTGATAACCTGGCAGCAACCACCAACCTCCACAGGCCAAAGAAACCCACCATTACCGAATTCAGATTCCTGCACCCAACAGCAGCGCTGGAACTGAACTTCGTGTAAACTAAGACTGACATTTACTCTAGGATAAAATAGGATCACAGGGGTATAAGAAAGAATGAACTACATGCTGTGATTTGTTGTCCTCCATAAAGGAAGTAACCTTGTTTGGATTTCACACACCGTAATTCAGGGCTAAATTTAGCCAGATGCGGACACATGGAGCCACGTATTTAGCAGTGCTTTGAGATACTCAGAATTGCAATCTTTTTATCCCACGAAGTCTGAATTACAGCTATTCCATACTAAATTATGCCTCTTTCTCATATACAATGTGGCAAAATCCAAACAATACTAGCTCATTTTTGTTTCATAGATACAACACTTTTTGAACTTATGTCTCTGAATGAAAATCCACAGGTCCAGAATACTTGACTGGTTTTATCTGGGAGATGTCCACTCCACTCACCAAAAAGGAGAGAAATGTGAAGAACACAATACACACACGCACACACACACACACCCCTTTCTTAACAGCAACATCAAAACCCACAACACAAACTTATGTTTCTAGATGCGTATACACATTACATGAACACACTACCATGTAAATTAAAACCAAAATGATAATTCAGTTTAGATAACAATACACTAATAATGAAAAAAATCCCAAGAGGTGACAAAGGATTACTCCTAAACTGCCTACATAGAGGACTTAAATCACGAAGATGCACACAAAGATAGAACTGACTTTGGTCTGTCGCTTTTCACATGGCAATATTTCAAAGCAACTATGCTACCACACTAGATTTTAAAGGAAAAAATAAAAGATTGACAGAGATAATGACCAAAACCAGATCAAATCCAAAAGAAAGCTCCTGTTACTGTGGATAGATTGATATATATTTTCACAAGCATGGTTATATTAACAATGCAACATGAACATACAATATGTTGTTCTTGATTGATGTTTTTGTTTGCTTTTTTTTTTCTTTAAATAGGAAAAGGAAAGATATCTTTAATCTATAAAACCTCTTTTGAGTATAGTCCAAGGAATGGAATGTAGAATTCATATTTTTGTACAGTTACTAAGTCTTATCATATTTCTAAAATAGAAAGTTGTCTCCCTGATATATGTAATTAGTAGTCCAACCAACTTCCAGTGAGGCCAGCATGAAGGTCAGCTCTTCTACTTGAAACAAGTACAGAAGCAAGGGTTATTTTTCTCATACTGAAGCGTGAAAGTTCAGCAAGTGGTGGTATCAGCTTTATACCAGAAATCAACTTTTTTCTTAATGTTATTTCCTAAATTATGAAATGTTACATGTTATATGAGCAAACTGATTAGAACAGATATTGTATCTTCAATTTATTTATAGTTGCCTGTGTAAGAACTTCCTGGAACAAGCTGAATTGGTTAATGCTTCTCATTTTCTTATATTTTTCATTGTCATTATTAGGGTAGAAGATGAAAGCTTAATTTATATTCAATTTTAGATTTTATTACATCAGTTAGGATTTCAACTAAAACAGCCATCAGTCAACTACAAAAAATTTCAACTGAAATATAAATATCAAATATTCAGGCTAGAAGTTCCATTGTGTGTCATATGGTCAATGACTGTAGTGTTCATTCTTAGAAACAGAGCCCTCAGCACATCTACAGTCATTGGAAATGGCTATTTCACACCTGTATAATAGCCTTCAGAAAAACTTATACCAAGTACTTGCTCCAGACATCCTACATACTGCAAAATTTTACTTCAGTAGTGGGAGTATCAAAGAGTCTGGTCATAGAAGCATAGAATGGCCTGGGCTGAAAAGGACCTCAAGACCATTTAGTATCAAACCCCTTGCTGTAGGCAGGGTTGCCAACCACTTAACCAGGCTGCCCAGAGCCACATCCAGCCTTGACTTGATCTCTGAAGAGCACTGCTATGATTGAGGACAATCCATTGTTCTGTAATGCTCAATACACAGTCACATCACACTCTGTGTCTGTGGGAAGCTTTTTTTCTTCTTTGAATGCTAACAGTTAATTAACCAAGAGCTCATATTCTTTTCCTACTAGTAACTTGTTCCTTGCAGCTCTTCTGCGAATGCACAGTCTGCTAGGCAGCCTTCAATACAGTTGTTTTTTAGTGCTTTTCTTTTTGCTTTATCTATTGACCTCTGCTGTTAAAAATGAAAGCACTTCCTGACAAGGAAACTTCTGCCATTTGAATGGTAGTGAAGTAAGAATCAAGCTTTGAGCAAGTACAGGGATGTCCTAGCCAGCCCAGTCACCAGTGTAATCGGTTCAAGGGCTACTATGTTCTGAACGTGCATCCTACTGAAAGACCAGTATACACCGATTGTGATGAAGATGATTTACGGACAACACCAACTCCACACATTTCAGATAATCTTTAGCTATTGTAAATGCATCACACCTATTCAAATTCTGCTAGCAATTCTATATGTTTGAAACAGCTGTTCCAAACTGCTCCACAGTAATAAACTGCTGCAAACTTCTAATTAGCATGAAGCCTAACAGCACAGACACCTGGAGGCTAATTTAGATTCATAGAGAACTGCCATGAAAAGTCACTGCACTCCTATATAGCTACTCAAAATACTCTTGTTTTTCTATACAAAAAAACCCACATCAATCTCACCAAACCCAGGTATAGAAATCATTTTAATACTGAGATCGGGGAGTGAAATCAGTAAATACATGATAGATCAACAGCCAAACTTGTTTGAGCCCACTCTTGAACAGATTTGTTTTCCAGATTACATCTTACTAAACAGTGATATAGCCAAGCTTTTTCTGAACATCAAATGGCTATATATATACACACACACATATCTTTATATATATACACATATACATACACATATATATCTTATTCTTGACAACTGTTCGTCTGAAATTTGTTGTCGTCTTAGAATATGAGAATGTAAATGTTTGCATTACTATCAGCAAACTAAGGGGATGCCAGTGTTTAAGTCTTCTGTTCCTTCAAATTCTGAATCGTTGTTAAGAAGCCACAATAATTTCCTTTCATTTCACTGTGCCTGCCTGCTTTTATGATAAATGTCTTGTTCTTGTCGGGGATAAAAGAACAACCTACAAAAAAAACCTGATTGACCAAAGAAAATGCCCTTGAACACACTGAAATTCCAATAGTTCAGATGAAGTTAGTAAGAATTTTCCTACCACAAGGAGGTGAGCACAGAAAGGAATTAATCCAGTCCTAACAAATGATCTCAGATACCAGAGGGTACAACCTCAGAATTGATTAAATGTGCCCTTGCCAACAAGAGCAAGTTGAATTACTGAAAGAATATTTCAGAGCTCTGCATGCAAGTCAGATAGCCCATAAATAGCCTATAAAACAGAAGTGGTCTGTTTCTGAAGTGTGGTATGCTAAGTTTAAATTATCAGAAATCATTAGAAAGAAAAAAAAACATTTGCAACAACAAAAAAACTATTAAAACCCTAAGCTTCTTTCCCAGCCATGACAAATAAATTCACAGTTCGCAGATATTGGAACTGTTTCTCAAGTTCTTTGGAATAAGCTAGGCAGCATTATCAAGCAACTGGTAGGTACAGATCTTTTGATAAGGTTGTTACAAAAATACATCAGTGCTTAAGAGCATCAGTTATGGATTTCAGTTTATTTCCTAACCATTTGTCTTTCTTCTGAAGTATCAAATGATCTTTGATTGGTTTTTGTAGCCTTTGTGGATAATGTTTATCTTCTCTGTGATCAAACTACATCTTTCGGTGTTCTGATTTGCTTATCTCAGTTTATCTCTTTGTAGCAAATCAATGTACTAGACAGGAAAAGATGCAGAGATGTTATCTCTTCATGCTGCTTTAATGCATGACAGATTCCGTTTCTTTACAGCTTTGATAATGACACAAAAGCAGGAATTCTTGCGACATAAACAAAATTTCTTGCACTCAATTCAGAAGAGTTCACTTGAGCAGAGGCTCAGGCTTAGTGTGTCACGCTTAAGAGTCTTTAGAAGATAATGTGAAAACAAAAACAAAGTAGCATGACTGATTTCCTACATTCTAAACAAATGAAAAAAAGCAAGAATGTTGACAGAAAAAAAACACCTGCACTTGTTTTGCTTCATCTATGAAGTATGCTTAATCCTAAACAGACCTCAAAAAAGAATGAGCAAGCCAGAAGCACAACTCTGAATATTCAGTGGTTTGTTATACTTTTGGAAAGGGTGCGTTTCAGATTGCTGCAAATTCAAAATAGCTTCTTAAAGCTAAGAGATGTTCTGCAGCATGAAATACTCTGAGTATATTAAAGGATGGCTTTCTAAAAGAGCTTATCCAAGAACCCAGGGAACATATAATGTAAATGCAGAAGTCACTGTAAACTCTTTAGAAGTTCTAAAACTCTCTAGCACATCCTTTGGTGAGCACAGGAAAAAAGCCACAAACATATATAAGTATATATTTATAGGCACACACATCTCAGTAAAGAAAATAGTTCTTTAAAACTATCAAGACCACTTTACTCTGTACATCACAGAAGGTTGCTCATCTCTACTTAATTGATCAGATAATTATTCCTAAGAACTTTCTTGTATAATTCTTAATATTTTAAAAAATGTATGCAGGATATTTATGTTTCTCATGGAACAAAAATGAAATGGCTTACCTTTCTTCCTACTAAAAGCACGGTTCATGTTGAAAGTGTATCTACTCAACTGTGTTTCAGGGTTTGGTATGTTTTCCTCCCAACACAATTTAACCTGCAGAACAATATGTGCAAGAAAACAGAAGAGTCCATTATTATATTTGAAGTTAGTGTGTTACCTTCATATGAAATGCAATAAAAATTATTTTAATTACACTGAAATCATCCAGAAAATGAAAAAGGGAGGCATGCTTTGCTGAAGAAATCGCTGTATTGAGATTTATTTTTGAATGCTCTGTGGCATTCAATACAGAAAGACATTTTAAAGCTCACTATGAAGCTCACACTAAAATCTAAGAGACAGAGCAGGGGGCCTTATATATAAAACCAAAGACAAACACTACATACAAATAGGTTGGAAAGAAAGCTTTAAAATGAATATCGAATACAAGATTCCATAAAAGCCTTCAGTCCACACTTGCACTGCCCTGTTTTGTGTCATTTCAGCTTTCAGATTATTTCAGGCTATGCTTTCATCTTCTTGTGGGGTTGACATTTAAAAAAAATCACAAATCAGAATGAATAAAGAAAAATCTCTTCTTCACCCAGGGATTCAATGCAAAAAAAAATGCCTTCTATCACTTCACCCATCTCCTTGCTTCTGTTACTTCAGATTGTGTCATGGATGTTGAACAGATCAAATCTGGTAAAGTGCAAACATCAGTCACAATTACATGTGTTTATAACTTAACTGAATTTGAAGTAAATTTTGTATTTCCTTCACATAAATCCTTGGATTCTTAGCCTAATTTTAGATTCATCACCTATTATGAGAATTTTTTTTCTTTAAAAATAATTTTCTGTATAAAAAGAAACCTCAAAAAAGCATTCTTCAGAAACCAGCCAATTTTGTAACATTGATTTGTTTTTCAACTTTGCTTACAGATATTCTCATTCTGTTCAGATCAAGTCAAAAGCTACACCTCTACCCTTCTCTCATAGCAACCAAGTCAAAAGAGAAGAAAAAAATAAAATAAAGCATTTTATCAATTATCTCTGAAATTAGCTAAAATGCCAGTATATCCAAGGCCATCAATACGATTAGAAAGTTAAGATACTCAACGCAGCTCAAAGACTTTGCAGCACTTGTCCTGTGCAGGCTCAGGGACAAGAACAGTTGAGTTTAAAGCCAGAATTAAAATTTGTCTCATATAGCCCTGTCAGTTTTCTTGAATTGCAATAGAGGAATCACTTGAGTACTCTTCCGTGATTAGGGGATCACCATATCTTAGTTTTCCCACCAACCCTTACTTCCTCCCCCCATTTCTGTCCTCTGAGCAGACATCTGCACACAGTCAGATGCTGGCTTTGTTTCAACAGAAAACCATTAAAGCATTTTGTTGAAAACACAGTGTAACTATGAAAACTATTAATTTTTATATCTGATATAAACATCAGTTTAACTACTAGAAGTCTGCACATCTATTCCAGTAAATGTGCTAAAATGCAATAAAGTTCTTATTTCTTCCTTTATAATGAAAATATGTGGGAGATGTAATGGATTTGCTTCACAAGAATAAATATATGCATCACGTTGATAAACCCACGTTGATAAAAGCCATAATCCTGTGATTCTGTGATAATGGACAATCTTGTTTTTGTCAAAAACATTCCCCATTTCAATTTCAACAAAACATCAGGAGTACAAGCCAGCTTTGTCCATGACTCCTACTCCACTGGGAATTGCTGAATTCCACTGGGAATGCTGCTAAACACTGAAGGAAACAATTAGCTACAAGTAGCTGTTTTTCAAATTCCCTTCAGCTCTAACATGAACAATTCCTTAAACCTCTCAGAGGCAGAAGAAACAGATGGTTACAAGCCCCATAAAATTTTGGAAATCCCCACCTAAATAAAAGTTCACAGTTGCCTAAGGGGCAAGGAGGTGTCATTAGGCTGCTGTAAGCAATACTGAAAAGTTTTGATTAGGGGATACCAACAGACAATATTGTTGGGTAAACACAAGCTGTTCTTTCATCATGAATATTGAAGATATTTTCTGATAAAATATAATGCTGTTTCTCAGAATGCTCAATACAGAAAGCTGCTGGATGAAACAGATCTGCAAAGCACTGTGCTAAAAGCTTACAATGAAACAGAAGACAAAATCCCATGACGGTGCAGGGGTCCCTCTACAGACAGGGGAGACCTTCCTGTGAGCTCATTTGTTTAATATAGGGTAAAGCAGTCAGAAGCACTGGGGAATAGGCATGTGGACAAAAATAATTAATTACTCATCATGAAGGAAGACACACCTATGTAAAGAATGTTCCTCCGCCTTTCTACTAGGAGTTTGCTTCAGCTTCAGCCAGAAACCAAATTCTACTTCAAAAAACAAACTTTTGTACAATTCCACAAAGTGATTAGCAGACAAAATACAAAAAGGTATTAACCTGAGATTTCATGTTGCTTCAGTTATTTATTCGGGGGCAGAAAGAGACAGAAGGAAAAGTGAGAAACAAGGCAGCTTAGAAAATAATTTCATTGAGCTAACAATAATACAAATTTAAATGCCAGCCAAATTCTGAGAAGTGGTTTTGTCAGGCTGACCGCTTTTCATGAAGTATGGGAAGCTGAGAATGTAAGCTGCCATAGCAGACTGCAACCGTAACAGCAGAAAACTACCTTCATCTCCCTTTCCCTTTGCATTCACTGGCATTAAAACCTTACTTTTCACAGTGAGGAGCAAACTGCAAAACAGCCTGGGTTGTGGGTGACTGAGGTGTTTGCAGATATTTGGTCTGATGGGCACAAGGCTAATGAGGATTGAAGCTCAAGCTGTCACCTCAGTAATTGCTTTTGATCATTAATGCTAATGGTGGTTGCTGTCTGCACTTATGCAGCAAAGGAGGCAGAACAAGGGGAAGCAGTAGCATCCTTCAAGAGCCAGATAGAAGCAACTGCAACCTGTCCTGCTGCTGCAGTGGCACAGAGGCCACCCCACAGACATCTGTATGTGCCTGAGGTCTCCTTCTGAAATGTTCCGTTTTTATCTGTTTTCTAAATTTAGATCCATCTCAGACAAGCCATGAGGGAGCACTTAATAAAGGGACAGAACAAGCCACCAATGTTACTTGCCTTGTTTTTCTTACTTCCTCTTCATTGCTGGACTTGACTCAGAATTTATTTGGGTTTCCCCACACTGCAACCTCCACCCTCAAATGGCATAGGCTGTAATGATCACCTGGCCTGACAGTTTATTCTATGCCTCCTGTTCATTGGACAAATAATTCTTACCTGAAAATCTCCTTAAGACCCCTCAACTTGTATCCACAGTGCTTTAAAAAAAAAAAAAAAAAGGGTCAAACATTCCCTCCCTCCCTTTCAAATACAAACATCCCACAGTGAGCCAAATTAAGATGGGAACATTGAAGTTTTAGACTGTTTTCCCTATCAAATTCCAGCCTTTTGAGCATACTGGATAACATTTCTCAGAAAATGAAGCACAATGTGCCTTAAATCCTGTTTTCCAAAGGGCTGCACCACACAGGAATGTGTGATTCATTGACTTGCAATGAAACACGGGTTTATAAAGTTACTGCTGAAGGTAAGATGAAAAGCTTTGGAACATAACAGCTATAAAATTATTGTGGTAAAATCACAACTGCTAATATGAAGACATAATGGCAGAAAATAATAATAGTAGACTATATCAAGTGATACACAAAATGAAGTTAACTCCATCATATCATGATATACTCCCTTTTCTTTTACACAAGAAATGAAAGTGTAACTTGCCACAAACCCTTTCACCTCTGAAATAAAAGTCTAAAGGAAAATATATTGAAGCGTCAGGGAACGAAACTCAATGTAGTCCTTGTAGCCACTCTTCATGTTTGGTCAGCAAGCAGTTCCATTTAATGCTATTAAATTATTTCCATCCTTTGAATTTATAAGCAAAAATAGTCTTCTATCCAGACCTTCCGTCTTGGCTTTTTATCCCTCCATTTCTTAACAATAAGCTACTCCTTTAATTAGGGAAATTTTGTCAAAAAGAAAGTCAGTAACAGGTGATAAGTGGATAACAATGATTTATCTGGTAACCAAAACAACTTCTCAGGCAGCATTAGAACTAAGTATTCTCTTAAAGCAGTAAAAAAAATTATCAATGGTTACACACTGTGCTTTATCAAGGAATTGCATTACTTATGGATCAAACTAGAGTTGACACTGCATTAGCAGAAGCAGTAGTTTTCAAGCCAGCAACATTCCCTTCTTCCCAAACTTCTTCAATTTTGCATGAAAAACTGATACTCTTATTTTGTTCCCTATAGTAACACAATCATGGCAGACTTCAAGGAGAGCTTCCTTTTCCCTTAAATCCAGGAGATCCAGTGTCCAGAGTAACACGGTAATGCATTTCAGTCCTATCAACCTAGTTTTTTCTCTACAAGAACTTACAGATGTCAGATGTTTAGAGCCAACAAAACAGCTTTCCACATGTTCACTCAGAAGGAACTCAGTCATTGCCATCTGCATCCGAAAGACAGACAGATGGCAAACATCCTGCCTGCTTGCACCCAAGGGGGTCAGTCTTACCCATTTGATCATCTATACTGATCTAAACAAGATCTTAGCCTTTCCCATCACTTTCAGGCATGAAAGCTTCAGACTTGAGCTTTGCTAGTGTTTTTAGAAGCCGTGGAGTAGATTCACTGATGGGTTCCACCAGGAACAGAACATATCAAAGCTCTTAACATAGTTCTGGTGGAAGGGATAGTGGACTGCCCAGCTGTTGTTCTCTGCTGTGTGTTGGTTTTGACTTGAGCATGAGTAAGCCTCCAAAACTTTAACAAGTCCTTGATTGACTGGACAAATACAGTTCTAAAAAATGATGTCGTGACACTAAAAATGGTTACTCCTACATTAGCAGCCTCCTTGCAAGAACTGATTGCTGCATAGATGGCCTACGTTTGTTTTGCTGCTGACAGATGTAGCACACTGTTGTATTTCCTCTGCAGAAAAAAAGCAACCTACAAATTACCAAATAATAGCTTTTTCTTTGTTTAGCTTTCTACATATATCCAAATGAATAACACAGCACTTATAATAGCA